CCCCAAGCAGGTGCTTTACTCCTAGCCTCGAAATGGCAGGCAAGCTCCAGGCAGACAGAGGAAGTGTTTCTGTGATACCCTCAAGACCTCACTGGCGAAATGCAACATTCCCACAGACACCTGGGAATCGCTGGCCCAAAGCCATCCAAAGTGGAGGAGGAGCATCCAGGAGGACATCGAGCACCTGGAGACTTGCCGTCGGGACAAAATGGAAGCCAGGCGCAAACAGCGAAAGGTGCGCGCTGCCACACCAATGCTCCATCCACCCCTTCCCGAGACCACCACCTGACCCAAGTGTAACAAAGCCTGTGGTAGCTGTATCGGTCTGTACAGCCACTTACAGATTCACCCTGAGAGTGGAAGATAGTCATCCTCATCTCCGACGGACCGTCGATAATGATGATGATTTTGAAGTCTTTCAAAGGGCATTAAACAATTACCCACACAGTACAAGTGGGGGACTTCTGTGATTACAAAATGTTGTATGCATACCTTGCACATTGCCCTTTTGTACTGATTAAAATTTCAGGTCCCAAACACTCTTGACCACATCATTCATGTTATAAATCACACTACAAATGGCTGTGAGGTACAAGCAATGTCTTGTGGCCTGTAAAGATTCACACTAGTTGCCAGTTGCCATGACCTTCCTGGTTCCATAGCCCATACAATGTGCAGGAGCTGGTCGCTTCACACTTTGGATCATAAAGTGCCCACATCATTATCCTATATGAACGCTGTCTTTCTTGGTGTGAACTGTGGTGGGGGTTCTCATAGAGTTTTAGACGTCTACAGCACAGAAAAAGGTCCTTCTTTCCATTGTATTTATATAATTCAATTACAACCTCCTAACTATTCTAATTCTATTTTCCAGTGCTTGGCCCATGGCCTTGTAGGCCTTAGCACCCTAAAACTGCGTCTTAATACTTCTTAAATATTCTGAGCGATTCCCCCTCTACCACCCTTCATTCCAGATTCCCACCACCCTCAGATTGAAAAAGATTTTTGTAATATTTCCCCCAAACCTTCTTCCCCTTTCCTTTAATCTATGCCCCAGTCATTGATCCCTCCATCAAAGAGAAAAGTTCCTTCCTGAGTACCCCATCAATGCCCCTCACAATTTTATACATCTCAATCATATACCCCCTCCCCCTCCACTCAATCTCCCCTGCTCTAGGAAAACAACCCCAGTCTATCCGATCTCCCTATATAACTGAAACTCTCCAGGCCAGACAACATCCTGTTAAATCTCCTCAGCCCATTCTCCAGTGCAATCACATCCATCTTATATTGTGAATTCTAGAACTGCACACAACACTCTAGCTGTGGCCTAAACAACATTTTACACAGTTCCAGGATAACCTTCCTGCTATTAAACTCATTGCCTCAGATATTAGGAGCAAATATACCTTATGCCTTCTTAACCACTTTATCCAGCTGTTCTGGTACCAGTGGGCATTCACATCAAGGTCCTTCTGATCCTTGGTGCTTTTCAGGGTCCTCCTGTTCATCATATACTATGGCATGAAGGAGAGATCCTCATTGTTGCTGCCACGTGTACAATCTGATACTGTAGACAGACATGAACAACATGGTATCACACATTAGGCTACTTAGTAAGATAATACTCTATATTGTTGGAGGTAGTATATTCACATGGATAGAGCATTGACTAACTAATGGAGGTCAGAGAGTTGGGAAAACGGGCCCATTTTCAAGATGTAAAATCTGTAAGCAGCGGAGTGCCACAGGGATCTGAGAACACAATATTCACAATACAAATTATGACTTAGACAAGGAAAGTGAATATACGGTAACCCAGTTTGCGGATAACCCAAAAATAGGCAGGAAGGCAAACAACGAGGATAGTGCAAGATGTCAGCAGAAGGATACAGACTGGTTAAGCGTAAAGGCAAAACTTGGCAGATGGAATATAATGTGAAAAACTGTGAGGTTATGGACTTTTTTTGGAAGAATTGAGATGCTGAACATTAGTTAAATGCAGAAAGACTGCAGGAAGTGACAGCACAGAGTGATTAATGAGTACCATACGTAAAATGAAAAGAGCTAGCATCCACATTCAGTGTATAATAGGGAAGGCTTGCAGAATACAGAATGCCATTGACCTTCTCTTTGGCTGGGCATTTCTCTGGGCCATGGACACACACTGACCGAGGTGGCAACTTTGGGCCAAGCTGGCAAGGTCTGTATCCTCTGGCACTCCTGCAGAAGAAAGGATGGTCTTTTTCTGCACCACCCCACCAAGTTCCCCTCAGCCACTCACCATTCTGACTTCAAAATATATCATCAATGCTTTGCTGCCACTGAGTCAAAATCCTCAAATTCCCTCCCTAATATCATTGTGGGCCAACCTAAAACACATGGACTGCAGCAGTTAAAGAAACCAGCTCACTACCACCTTCTCGTGGGCAACTAGGGATGGGCACTAACTAACATAAAATCTTGAAAAAAGCATAAGAACATAATAACTAGGAGCAGGAGTCAGCAATTCAGTTCCTTAAGTCTCCACCACCATTTAATACAATCACTGCTAATCTCATCTCAGCTCCAATTTCCTTCTCACAGCCTTTCAACCCAATACTAATTAAAAATTTGCCTATCTCCTCCGTAAATTTACTCAATGTCCCAGCATCCTCTGCACTCCGTGGTGGTGAATTCCACCTATTCATGACCCTTTGAGAGAAGTAATTCTCCTCATCTGTTTTAAATCTGCTACCCCTTATCCAAAAACCATAACCTCTCACTCTAGGTTGCCCAACATGAGGAAACATCCTTTCTACATGTACTTTGTCATTCTGCTTTAGCATTTTATAAACATCAATTATACCTCCTCTCATTCTTCTAAACTCCATTACACCATAAGATATAGGAGCAGAATTAAGCCATTTGGCCCATCAAGCCTGCTCCACCATTTAATCACGGCTGATATGTTTCTCAACGCCATTCTCCTGCTTTCTCCCTGTAACCCTTGATCCGCTTACTAATCAAGAACCTATCTTTCTCTGTTTTAAATACACTCAATGCCTTGGCCTCCACAGCCTTCTGCAGCAATAAATTCCACAGATTGACCACCCTCTAGCTGAAGCAATTCCTCTTCATCCCTGTTATAAAAGGTTGTCCCTTTACTTTGAGGCTGTGCCCTTGGCTCCTAGTCTCTCCTGCTAGTGGAAACATCTTCTCCACATTCACTTTATCCAGGCCTCTCAGGATTTTGTAAGTTTCAATCAGACTGTCCCCTTATCCTTCTAAACTCCACCGAGCGTGGTCCCAGAGGTCTCAACCATTCCTCACATGGCAAGCCCTTCATCACCGGGATCATTTTTTGTGAACCTCCTGTGGACTCCCTCCAATGCCAGTACATTCTTCTTTGGATATGGCGTCCAAAACTGCTCTCAATATTTCAAATGCTAGCCCTCTCGAAATGAATACTGACATTGTATTTGCCTACCTAACATCCAACCAAACCTGCATATTAACCTTGAGAGAATCCTAGCCTCAGACTCCTGAATCCCTTTGTGCTTCAGATTTCTGAAGCCTTTCTCTGTTTAGAAAATAGTCTATGCTTCTAATTTTCCTACCAAAGTGCATAACCTCACACTTTCCAACATTATATTCCATCTCCACTTCTTTGTCCACTCTCCAGACCTGTCTAAGTTCTTCTGCAGCCTCCCCAGAGAGTGATAGGACTAAACTGCTTAATATTTCTTCATAAGTCAAAACCCTCAACTCTGGAATCGATCTGGTCAAAATGTTGGCCCAGCCAGCAAGTGAGTAAAAGAACTCCTTTCACCAGGATGCCCAGGTCCCTGTTGGTGAAGCAGGGTGCTAACTTTCCTTTCTCAGCCACCTCTGGGGAAATTCTTCACACAGGAACCATGAAGGGCAGCTCCTGAAAGACAGTAGTGACCAGGTGCACAGCTTCATTTTAAACATGGCATCAATGCCAGGAATCCCAGGGGATCTTGGCTGTGGAAAGTACTTCCACTACTGGTGAGTGCACAAGTGCACCATAGAAAAGTGATGCACAAATAATGAGACAAAGTCTGAGAAAACAGAGAGAAGCCCTCTTCAAAACTCCATGAAATTGACACTTAGCCTATTTTCAGTCAAATTTCATCCTAGGATTATTCCAGAATGAATAAATTTTCTTATGGTTATGCAGGTTCAGCCTGTACTCATTATTGTACATGTACATACTGTATTCACATATTTTTACAATTCTGACAGGGCTTGACAGATGTGCTCTTTTGCCAGGAAATCTAGTCCTAGGCACAAATGGGAGAAAAAGGATTCTCCCATTTACTGGAGCTAAAGAGGAGTTTCTTCTTGCAGAGTTTCATTAATATTCTCTACCCCAGAGATTAGTGGAGACTGGATCATCAAATGTATTTAAGGCTGAGTTAGACAGAGTTTTGATCTACAATATTATGGTGGGCAGACTTGATCAGATTAGTCACGGTACTGTTGAAAGGCATAACAGGCTCAAGGGATGAAATAGCCTACTACTGCTTTTATTTCTTATATTTTCATGTTCTTATGGCTTAAAATGAGGCATGTTATTTTTATTTGGGTTGTATTGCACCAACATTCTTTGTATATATTATTGCATTTAAATGTTATTATTCACCTGAAGTGAGAGATACAAAATTGAGTTTGCAATTAATGTGTACATTTAATGATGTGTATGAAAGGCACTGCAAACTGGTTTTTGTTCTACTACTAGTATTTGGTAGTTTATGCTTGAATACTTATCTTTTAGAAAAATAACACACCCTTGCAAGCAAGCAGTGCCCCATTCTAGGCTGGGAATGAAGGTTCAAACCTCTATCTAATTTCCTTTTTTGTTGTTTCCATATGAATCTTTTTTTTTCTCAGAGAAAGATGACTATCTGGAGTTTCCTTATTTTTTTGCAGGAAGTCAAAGGGCTGTTGGCTTCCTCTCCCCTCCCTTCCTTCCTTTTTTTCCGAAGGTACTCATCTGTAAAAAAAAGAACGAAGTAATTTTGTTCCTGTTCTCCTTCTTGGGTAGCTTCAAACTGTGGCACAATAAGTTCCTTTTTTAAATTAAATCTCTGTGTGGAGGCTGTGAAGAGCAGGTAGACAGTTCTGTGCTCTGTCGACTTTAAGGACACTCACTGGTAAGTTGCATTGAGTATTGTAGTTTTGAGCTTTTGACATTTAGATTGACTGAAAGGTAATATTCTTAAGATTTTTAGTCTAATTCATCAACAAATGCAATTGATTATAACCATGTAATATCACATAAGATTCATAAAATGCTACAAAGGTGTCTGCTGGTTCAGTTGAGTTTCTTCACTGGTAATTCTATGGTTGTAAAAATGCTATATTTTTAGAATTGAAAAAATAGGAAATCATTATGAATGCAAGTGCTGGTGACCAGAAAGAGATATTCAGTTCTTTCTGTGTATGTTTATCGTTGTGCTGAAAGCAAGTTTGGGTTCAAAACTTACGAACTGTCAAACTTTCAATAGAGCCTCCCTTCCCGTTCAGTCTCAAAGTTTTAAGTTAGTTCTTCAAAACAATATTTTTCACATGTTTAAAAATGGAACAGTGCTAATGGTAATGCTTGTCCAGCTGAATAGTTTGTGTACACTCAAAATGTTCATCTAAGAATCAACATTTACAGATTTACTGATGTGTTACTTAGGTTAAACTTTCAAATATATAACCAGAATAATATTTACAAAAATTTATTTGTAAGCATTTGCTCCATTAAAATTTAAATAGACTACATTCAAATTGATAAATATATTTAAAAGACTGAGAATGATCAGATTTGCCTACCTTTGGGACTGATGCTAGAGAAGCATCAATAACAGACAACACTACAGAGGGTCACACAATATTGATACACTGTGGTATGTAGAAAACATGAAATCAGATTGAAATTTGCACATTATACTGAGCAAATCCATTGTATTGAGCAAAAATAACATTAAGTAATATCAATGTTTAAGCTCAAGAGAAAAAAAGCATAAGCTTCTTTATAACTTTTAATAGCTTAATACTTGTAGAGTTTTTTCAATCATAATTCAAAAAATTGTCAAAAATTAATTTGATGACTTGTGTCAGATGATAGGCTCTAAAGACAAGCATGATTATATTGTGTAAACTAAAACTGTCTTCCTCCAACTGCAGGTACTAAACTAATTGCATTATGCAATGCTTTGCAAAAGAAAATAATGTTTTAAACTAAATCTCTGTCTCAAATGCACGCACACATATACACGCGCACACACACACATACACACCCACACACACCCACCCATACACACACACACACGCACACACCACACACAAACACATTCGACACAGAAAAATTGTGATAATATGGATATTCTCCAAGATCACATCAGAAAGATTTATTCTGTGGGATAATCATGCTTCAAATGCAGAAGGACAAATTGAAACTAAAAGTATTAAAAACGGGAAGCGTCATACCTTCTATCAGGGCTTAAAGGTAAATTCCCAGGGACAAATTAAAACAAACTGCAACAACAAAACACTGTCCTGCCCTTTTGTCAGTGAAGTGTATCATGTTTAAACTAGCCTGCTTGTTTTCACTTCTGTATTTCAGCAATCCATTATGAATCTTTCACAGATTTCCACTCAGCTACTTACTGTCAACAATTCCAACACTTTGAGGAGTTAGTCCATAAATTTCCACAGGGGATCCTGCTTGATATCAAAACCAGCATTGAGATAGGTTTTGTGCAATAAATCTAATTAGGTTGCAGTCAGTCACTCAGCTTTGATAAAGAATATTAATAGAATGAAAATAATGAGTGCAGCATTTCATTTGAAGCACTTAGAACGATTTTCTGAGACCTGATCAGGTGCTCTATCAATGCAAGTTCTTTATTTTGCTTTGTAAGTTCTGTTCTGGTAGTAACTGGAAAATAGAGCTTTGATCATAATCTGATCAGCCATGATCTTATTGAATGGCAGAGCAGGTTCCTGGATGGCCTATTCCTGCTCCTGTTTTTTCTGTTCTTACTTTTGAAATTGTATTTGTATGATGGGAAAAGACAGTTACCACTTCTTTATAGCAAATATAATTAACTCCTTATGTTCGGCACACACTTCCACTGAATTATGTACTGCAAAAAGATTGAGTTGTCTAGTGGGGCAGCACACTATCCTTTCACATCTGGAACCTGAATCCAAAGCTAGCTCAGACTGAGAAAATTCTATTGCTTTTTGAAATGGAATGGGTTGACATTGCACTATGTTAATTATGAATACATCAATATGTCTGCATGAACTAAAAATTATAGAAAACAGAAACAAAAGCAGTAGTAGTCTATTCTGCCCACTCTGCCAGTCAGCATGAACATGGATCCTCTACCTCAACACTATACTTCCACGCTCTCCCCATGCCCCTAGATGTTTTTAACTTCTATTAATTTGTCTATTTCTTTCTTCAGTATATTCAATGACTTTGCTTCCATAACATTCTGTGGTAGAGAATTCTACAGGTTGACCACCATCTGAATAAAGAAATGTCTCTTCATCTCAGTCTGAAATGGCCTGTCGTGATTCAAAACCCCTTGCTCTTCCCATCACTTTAGTTATCTAGACAACTGAGGCAAACCAAACTCCCAGAGGTGTCAAAGAACTAAATACACAACATTTTTGTCAGCATCTATAAAGGCAAAGGATAAGTGAATGTTTTTGGTGCAACCAAATTCTTCACCAATATTGTTTATTTTCACTTTATTATTTACATTTCTAATAACTTGTGCTTTTTACTTCAAACTGCATTTATAGTTTAGTGATAGCTCTCTTCCCTTGAAATCAGAAGGTGCAGGTTCAAATCCCACTACATTGGTGCAGGCATGATGGGCTGAATGGCCTCTTTCTGTGCTTTAACAATTCTCTGATTCTGTGATTCTGTGTAATGCAGTTCTACACTGTTAATGGTTCTGCATTTTGGATGAAAAAAATAAAATGAGTTCCCACTCCTGAGGCAAATGTAATGAATTCTGATGGCAGAAGAGCTGATGTCCTGGCTAATTTTTATCCTTGAACCAAAAGGTTCACCAGATTGATTCCGGAGATGACAGGATTGTGATTTGAGGAGAGATCGGGTTGACCAGGCCCTCATTCACTAGAGTTTAGAAGAATGAGAGATGATCTCATGGCAACTTCCTGTGGGCAAATGGCTTTCAAAAATAATTTTCTGACCATGAAATATTTTGCAGCATACTAAGACTGCACAGGAGTTTGTGGATCCATATAGATATAAAGCTAAAGTATATCTTTACAGAATTTGCAGTTTTTCAACACTGTGACAGTGGGCAAAGCAATGGATACATTACCATGAATGTACCATTAATTACCGTGAAACTATTATACAGAACTGAGTTTGAGATTAATTTGCAAAAGACAGTAAAGTGTTGTACTCAGTTGCACTAATATTCCACGAGTGACCAGGAAAGAATCACACAGATAAAATAATCTTAAAATGGAGTTATGTGATATCATTAGTGTGATGATGGGGACTAAGGACAAACAAAAAGCTTTTTTAAATGTTTGTGTATTCATTCTTCATAAATAGTGATGTAGGAGGTCAATGAGCTCATGACGAAAGCTGTTTGAATTTGAAAGATCTCTGCTTTAGCAAAATAAATGGACTTTGTGGTTCTACATTAAATAAAAGCTCATTTAGACAATCTCAAATGCTTGTGAGGATGCTTGTTAAGAAAGGCTAAAACAACATTATTAACAGAATGGACAAAATTCCACCACTGAATCACTGCGTGACACACAGTGGCTCAATGGTCAGCATTACTGCCTCACAGTGTTAGGGACCGAGGTTTGATTCCATCCTTGGCAACTGTTTGTGTGGAGTTTGCTTGTTCTCCCTGTGTCTGTGTGGGTTTCCTCCAGGTCCTCTAGTTTCCTCCCATAGTCTAACAATTTGCAAGTTAGTTGAATTGGCCATGCTGAATGCCCTGTAATGTCCGGGGATGCGCAGGCTAGGTGGGTTAGCCATAGGAAATGCAGGGTTACAGGGATAGGGTAGGGGGGAGTGAGTCTGGGTGGGTTGCTGTTTGGAGTGTTGGTATCAACTCCATGGGCTGATAATCTCCAAAAGTCAGCATACTGAGGGCTGCCGTTGATCAGAGCCTGAAAAGGACGAGCCACATAAACATTATGGTTACAGGAGGTCAGATGGCGGAATTCTCTGGTGAAAAACTCATCTCCTCACCCTCCACCTGTCCACTATCTACAAGACACAAGTCAGGAGTGTGATGGAAAACTCTCCACTTGAATGCAGCTCCAGTAACAGTGAAGAAACTTGATGCCGTCCACTCAAAGCAGCTCGCTTGATTGGCACCCGACCTGCCACCATAAGTATAGAAATGTAGAAAACAGAAGCAGGACTAGGTCATTCAGCCCATCAAGCCTGTTCCACCATTCAATATGAACGTGGATGATCTTCTATTTCAACGCCATACTCCTGCCCTCTCCCACAGCCTTCAACACTTTTAGCATATAGAAATCTATTTCTTTCTTAAATACATTGAGTGACTTCTCCTCCAAAGCCTTATGTGCACAGTTCCACAAGTTCATCACATTCTGAGTGAAGGAATGTCACCTCACTTGATACCTCGTTGTCCAACCCCATATCCTGACACCATGACCTCGTTCTAAATCCACCAGATTCAGGAAACATCATCCCTGCATCAATCTGTCCGGCCAAATATACATCAGAATCTTATATATTTCAATGGGATCACCTCTTGTTTTTCTAAACTCTAGCGAATACAGGACTAGCTGACCCAATCTCACCTCATGCAACAATCCTGCCATCCCAAGAATCAGACTGTTGAACATTAACTGCACTCCCGCTTTGGCAAGTGTATTCTTTCTTGGAGAAGGAGACCAAACAGCCCACAATACTCCAGACGTGGTCTCACCAAAGCTCGGTAAGACATCCTTGCTTCTGGACTCAAATCCCCATGCAAAAAGGCCAATATATCATTTCCTCCCGAATTACTTACTTCACCTACTTTCACTGACTGGAGTACAAGGGCATCCAGGCACCATGTTGCGCATCAATATTTCTCAATCTATCACCATTTAAATAATAGTGTTCCATTCTGTTTTT